CTTGTCCCGTTCACAAGAGCCATTTTCCACCTCTGCAATATCATTCATTTGTAGCTGAGGATATAGCGTAATATGTGTGTGTATGTGTGTACACGTGGTGTGTGTGTTACATTGCACAGCGCATGACTAGAAACACACAAAAAATGCAATTTTTGGAAGTTAATTTTTAATATTTTCAGTTTGTTACACGCGACAAAAACAGGACAAAGAAGTGCAGCAAGAAAAACTGCTGACCGAAGTAATGTGACAAGAATGAGAGACAACAGATGGACAAAGCGGAGTACTGAATGGCACTTAACGCAGCGTTAAATGAACAGAAGGAATAAGAACTTATGCAATAGAAGGATCCAACTGAACGGTTAGTTGGAAGTGTGTGAAAGAGAGAAGCTCAAACTAAAGAATTATGAAGGTGCATGACAGCTGCATCAATGACGGGATGAAAAGTGACGATGGAAGAGTAACAGGTCACTAAAGTATCAAAGCACTAAAGTCCTGTAGTGGCTCAAAGATCTAATGCGACTCTTTTGACTCCATTATGTCTGAAACTATGGCTTCATAGAGAATTTTGGGCGTCGCATACAAAACTGTTACTAAAACCCCGGAGATGGGGAAGGGGGAAGCAGCGGTGGCCTTGTGTGCCTCGAATGGAGGGGGACAGAAACGAAGGTGGGGGAACTGGAAATACAGGCTTATTGCTGCTAGAAAGGAGCTGAGAACTTGCTTGGAGATAGAAACTGGAGACAGGAACTATGGAATTATTATGCTAGGCAAGAAATTGGATGCTCTTGCAAACTAAGATATTTATGCACGACCCATAATTCCCACCCTCCAATACCCCAAAACGTCTGCTTCTGCGCCAAAAACGACCGCACTTTCATCGCACGGCCGAACAGAGTTGTAATGGAATTTGAAATGAAATCGTAGCCAGTCTCTCCACTTTCTTCGCCACACTTAAATCCTCCCATTTGTTTGTTTTAGCGTAATAACCTCTTGGCCACATACGACCTTGCAAATTCAAATTTAACATTCCTCATGGCCCCGTGAAAACTTCTTGTGGGTAAATTATTATCTCGGGAACCACGAAGTCTACAGAACTGAAAATTAGGGTAATGATCCCTTGCCCACGTACAACCTTACAAATTCAAATTCAACTGGACAATAGAAACTGGACAGACCACCACAAAACGCATGATTACACCTCGTACCCTGGTGTGCGCCGCTATTTATTTCACTTTGTCTTTCTTCCCTTCTTTTTCCATTTCACCATTTCCTACCTTATCCTTCAATATGAGAAATCATGTCGTACAGTACGAGTCATCTTTCATTTTCATCCGCTGTCAAAAAAGCGAAGTATGTAGAACCAGCCCGACTGGTACCAAGTGCCAACAGTAATCAAACATCGGCAAGGCTGTCGATGGCTCCTCATTCGAGAGTTGCTTACAAGCAAGCTGATGGCGGGCCTGTCTCCCGGGTATGTTTGCCAAGTACCAATTTTATCATTGAAATGAATAAACGCATCGTAAAAGGACTGGTTATTCCCCTGGCAAAGTCGAACCCTCAATCCTCTGTAGGAGCACAACTTTACTTGATACTGTACCATGCCTGTCAGAAAACGAGAAAATTCAGAAATTAGAGCCATCACTGCACAGAAAAATGTAGAAAAAAAAAAAAAAATCAAAACTGAGCTACAGAAGTGTAGCAAAAAAATCGTGACATTTTGAAGTAGTTTATCGCATCACATGTTACATAAAAAACATATCTAACAAAAAAAT